AAATATATATATTTCTTAGGGTAGGCCGAGCCACCCAACTAAAATTATTAGTGGTCATTAAAGCTACTGAATAGTGGGCGTTGTAAGTATTGGTCATTATAGATAGGAGAATTTCGAACCATTATTTTTTACAAATAAATATTCGTGTAGCGTATGCATACATACATCCATATGTATATTTACTTCAGGCATATTTGTTTACATGTATGTATGACGATAGAAATGAGAGTTCGCCTGTTCAGTTAGTTATTTTCCATCGTAGGAATTTACAATGCACAGGGAATTAATTATGAAAGCTATTGAATTTGAATAGCGAAGCAGACAAGATAAAAAAAAGTTTACTCGCCTTTGTTGAGAACTTTTCGTATTTGCTTTCTATTGGACTAGTTAGTGCAAAAAAGCAAACATTTTTTTCCAAACAAGGTATTTTGACAAGCATAGTGCCACCTTAATACACACAAGACAAGAGTGCCTATAGGAATGAGATTTTAAATAGATTTATTTTTTTTGGGACTTTTTACATGTTCATATTTATGCATAGGTAAATATGTGATAAATATTATTCCATGATATGGAGTCTGTTTGAAAAATTAAATTCCATTAACTTGATTAGGGAAAGGAAACATTACAACATGGGTTAAAACGAAACAGATTTAAGAAAGCTCACTTTCCAAAATATTTTTAAGAAGGTTACCACCTATTTCAATAACTAAATTCGAATGAATTGATTACATATATATTATATAGAAATATTACAATATGGGTATCAGACGAAAGAGGTTTAAAAGGTTGTAGTTTAAAAATGTTTGAAGAGGGTTGCCATCTGTTTAAAAAGTTTAATTATTTCATAAGGTAAATTAATTATTACAACATGGGTATCAAGCGAAATGGTGAAGGCTTTATTTCTAAACTATACGACGCAGGATTACCATCTGTTCAAAAAGTCAACTTAAACTTGAATTAGGGGAAGTAGACAATTGTATTATTAGATGACAACAAGGGTGTCAGACATAAGAAGGTTAAGAAGGTTTTAGCTTAAAAATATTTACAAGAGGATTAAAAAGTGGCAGAGTTTAAGTATGTAAAATTTTATTAAAATAAATTACAGAAATTTCATACACTGGGTAAATCTGTCACCCATATCGCAAAATGGGCACAGACGTTCTTACTTATATGTACTGCTCTCAAAAAACCTTTCGAACACTGTTGTTTCGTACATTGCTCTTGCATAGTGTTTTTTTTATTTACCGAAGAACCACATTTTTGGAAGTTTTAGATATTCTGCAAGATTTTTCAAAAATAGCTCGATCTAAAATATATCCCAGCTCTATATTTTTAAAACAGGACTTTGGAGCCCACTTATAATCTAACTAAATAAACTCATATGAATATGTACTGAAATACCCGCTAAAGTATGTATGTACGTTTCAAACGCGATAAAAAATGTGGAATGTAGAATATAGAAACGGCTGAGAAATGTTGTGGTTCAGGGGTACTAATTAATGTAAGCATATGGTAGAAAATCGTTCCACTAAAATAAAAAAATGTGTTCAATTTATGGCTTTTGAAAGTAAATTTCATTAATTCCACCATAAGTATGAATATTTGCCTTTTATTTATAAGCGATTTACTGCCTCGTGTGATGCTCAAATAAGGCAATATTTTTTTACATACCCAAATATACTTACACTGGTGGCAGAAATAATAGGCTCGACTTATTTTTACAAGTTTTTAATATATTTATTTCGTTGATTTAATGTTTAATATTTTTTTATAGAAGTCTGGCTACTTATAAATCTTCAACAAATTTTCACCAAAATTTCAAACTTTTGCTGCGCAGTTTTATAGCCAATTAAATTTTTGTTTCAAGTCGCTATATAAATAATACCGTTGATTTTCATAATGTTTTTTTTTTTTGCTGACGGCGTCACGCATTTTTTTCATACAAAGTAGAATGCCTAGCACCGTCAACCAAAAAAAACAAACAAATGACCACGTGTTGATTTTCTTCAGATATTCGCAATGTTTTTCGAGCTAAATATTTTTTTTTTGTTTTTATATAAAAATATCGTCTAAGCTTTAACCAAAACCATGTAAATAACAGTTTCAAACTTTATACAAAATTTAGGAAAAAAATCAGAATAAAAAGGTTTAAATTTTGATGAAAATTTTTTGAATTCTCCTAAATTTTGCATAAAGTTTGAAACTGTGATTTGCAAAGTTTTGGTTAAAGCTTATACGATATTTTTTATATAAAAATAACAAAAACAAGTAAGAAAGTCTAAGTTCGGGCGGAGCCGAACATTAAATACCCGGCGCAAGTATTAAATATATGTTTTTTCACCTTTCCGAAACCTTCCGCTAGATGTTAAGCCGGGGTGTATCAATTTTGAGTAAATTAGCGTCCTTCAATTTCGAAATATTGAAGTTTCAAGCATTTCTGAAATTTACCGTTATATGAGAAGCGGGCGTTATTTTAGTCCGATTTCAATAATTTTCAACGTTTTGCTTATATGTGGCAAGCACAATAACCACACCGAGTTTGGTACAAATTGGTAGAACGGTTACCGATATACTTATATGTGATCATAAGTGGGCGGTGCCACGCCCATTTTCCAAAATTTTATCATAAACGTATTTCTTGGTAAAGAAATGTTGCAAGCATCAATTTTGAATAAATTAGCTTCAATATTTACTGATTTATCGAAGATTTTGTATTTCTCTTAATTACCGTTATATGGGATGTGGGCGTGGTTATTGTCCGATTTTAAAAAGTTTCGGGGATTTTTTATGCTGTACCAAGGCCAACAACTGTGCCAAGTTTGTAAGAAATCGGTGCAGCGGTTACCAAGATATACACATGTAACCATAAGTGGGCGTGGCTACGCCCATTTTCCAA